CTTCACTTATGACTTCCGCGATGCAAAACAGTTCTCCAACATTTTAACAATAGGTAAATACCATACTAAATATTGAACCAGGCAAAGAAATACTTTCTTTTGCAGCACTAAAACTTGCAAATGTTTCCAGTGTACTTTACTTTAATACTTAGCTGACAAAGAATAATAATATTTTAGAGTGCAATTTCCAAAGCAATTACAGTGTCAAGATTGTTTCAGATTCTTTTTTTTCCCACTATTTACATTCCTGAGTACATTTTAGTGAGAGAAATGAAGAATAAATAAAGACTTGCTCCTTGAACTGATTTTTTATTTAAAATAATCACCATATAGTTCATAATATATTTCAAAATAACCATTAAATACAAATGCCATTCCTATCTTACACTAAACTACAGTCACACCACTCCTTGTAAAACCTCTTCAAAAGCTCTCTTTATTAAAGAGAGAGAGAAGCACAAATTCCAATTCCTGAAGACCATTTGAACAAAATACCATCAGGAAAACTGAGGTGTCTTAGCATGTAAGATTCAGTCATCCTACGTGACAAAAGAGAGGAAGAACACACAAGGCACAGGCACTGGTGACCATAATCCCTTTGTACGGAGTTGGCTGAAGCATGGAAGAACCATTTGCTCTATCCCCTCCATTCCTGTTATCCTTTCTCCCACCTACCCCAAAATTCAAAGAGGCCTGCAGAGAGGTCCCTTCACCGGCACTGCACCCTAAGGAAGCTTTATGGAACCCTGAAAACTGCAGCAGCAGCTTGGGCTAAAACCCCTCACTGCACCGCAAGTCACCTGTCTGTTATACAGTCTGTCTCATACTATCCCAACCCCTCAGCGAGGTACAGCCAAGTCAGTATAGCAGAAGGTCGCAAAAGGAGGCTCAGCAGGAGACAAAATTGCTGCTAACAGCTTTAAATGGTTTAACCTGTGTACCAGGTGCTAGAAGTAGGGCACTAAGCACAGACACTGCCACCAGCTCTCAGGATACCAGACATTCTGGATTTGGAGAGAGAAGAGGTGAACATTACTCCTCCATCCCAAATCTACCCAGGATAGAGGAAGCAGAGTCCTCAAAAAGGACTGTGATTTGAACAATCAATAAGTTTCCACTTGCTAGAGTGTAGAAAGCCATGAATGAATGAATTCTGCACTACTAGCAAAAATTGTCCAATTAGCCCACAACGTTTGGGAAGCAGCATAGAACCTAACCCTCAGGAAACCCTGCAAAACTCAACAAAAGGCCAATAAACAATAGAGTTTCTGCTTCTTTTTTGTCTGCTTTTTTTCTTTGTAGAAAAGAAACCCTGGCAAAAGTAGGGCAATTTTTTTCCTCATCACATTTACTTTAATTTTTCACTTCTTCCACTTGCCTTGGAAAGTTTCAGTTCTACCCCTGAGCAGAAGCACTGGAACAGGCTGGCGCTGATGAAGGCCTCTATACAACCCTCATATCAACTGCTCTATCAACGTGCACACGCCTTGTTCAGCAACGCACTCATGCCCGCTGTCACTAACAGCACCAACTCTTGGGGCCTTTTAGGCTATGTTTTATTGAATACTGACTGCCAAGCTGACTTAATCTTCCCAAACATGCACAACTGCTCACATCAGCTATGCCACACTCCAAATACCTCAAAACTCTCCAAGCCTGCAGTGGCCCCTAAGCAGCCACCTACTCCTAAAGGGATTTTCAACAGAGATGCGATCAGCAAACAGAGCCCATAATCCCAGAACAGAGTAAATGGCCCATGGAGCATGGGATCTGTGATAGTGAAAGTACAGACCATAACAGAATATAATTTCCAGCATTTGTTGACTTGAGCCTTTCTCCCTATAGTAAGTTTCTCAATAACTGGGTCTTTTTCCTGCTTGGGAGATGAGCAGAATTCAGTCTTTATAGTTTTATGAGTAAAATTTTATTTATTCATCTTTTTGTCTATACTTTATTACTTCTCATAGTCCACAGTACTTCCCCTAAAGGGACAGAAAGGATTACCCTTGGTGGTAACTGCAACCTCTTTTCTCTTCAGTCTCAGCACCCTTCTTGTTTACTCCTTACACGCCTACCTGAAAAATCCCCTGGAAAAATAGCTCAAAGGTGTTTAGTGAAACCCGGTAAGACCTTCAAGTAACAACTCTGTGGCAATAACTACCCACTCATCTCACCGGTTACACATTCAAATGCCAATTTTGTTCATTATCTTAGAGCTCACCTGTAGGAAGGGAATGCATGTATGATACCATGAAATCAGCACTAAACACCGAGAGGTTAGGTTGGACTTTCTGCAGCACTATCTAGCAGAGTCATTAAGTACAAACTGCTTCACTTTAGCAAAGACAAATCACTTTTCAATGGCACAGAAATACTCCTACATTGCTCTGTATTTTTCTCTCTCTTGTCACAGTACGCATGAGATGACGTTAGGAATGTATTAATGAAACCACTTTTTGCCCACTAACACACAAAATTACCTAGAACAGAAAAATGTTTACATAGTTGCAGCTTATTCACCTAGCAAACATCATCCCTATGTAAGAGATGGGTAGAGGGAGCGACTGGGTAAGTTCAGCCACTAGCACTGCCTGAGGGCACAAAACACAAGTCCCCCCCTTGTCCCCTGCACTGCTCACTGATACCAATCTGTCGGGCACAAACTGCTTGCCAGAACTGGTCGATGACCTCCCAGCAGCGTGCCAAACTGGCGATGCTGTCCCAGAGGCAACACAAGAGCAGAGAGACTCGCAAGCTGCCGGAGACCCACCAGGGGATTCTCCTCCCAGGTCCCTGCCCACAGCAGCATGGCCGGGCAGTGACCTGATGCCAGTGGCAGCCTGCCCAGGCCTACGCTGCTTGGCACTGCTGAGGGAACTACAGAATGCTGTGGAGGAAAGGGAGGGAGGCTCCAGAAGCAGCTTTTCACTTTCCACACCTTTGGCTGCACTTCTTCCTCCCAGTGCAAGCCTTCCTTCCACATGGTCTCACTTCTGTTTCCCCACACAACTAACAGATTGTATACACTGGAGGCACCGGGGACAAAAGCAGGGGATCTCCCAACCCTCCCAAGCCCTCCTACACTGTTCTCTCACAATGTGGCTTTTATTCTGTTTTCTTCCTATGTACAATTAAGATGCTAAAACAATTAAAGCAACGATTCTTTTACTTTGGATAAGCTTGTTAAGAGTGCTTTATGCCTAAAACCATGACAAATGTACTCTTTTACTATTTACACAAATGACTTTTAGAGCATTTTCCTGATGGACTGTTATTATTACTTGATAATACATAATCTGAAATTAACATAGCATGAAAAACTTCAAAAGAAAAGAAAAATTGTATAACTAAATAATTGAGAGAATACTGTTATAGCACTTGGCATGACAGCATGATTCAGACAGATGACAGCAATATACTGAAGTGAGGATGTCACTGCTAGCTCTTTCAAAATAGAAACAGCAGAAAAATCCAACCGTCTCAAGAATAAAATCAGTGGAGTCACTTTCTGGATTCTTATCTGTCTGAACTGTAATAAATACAATGCAACAAGCCTCTGCACATAATTGGTAGATCTTTCAGAAGAGAGAACATCATCTTGTCTGTTAGTACAGCCTGAGGGAGAAGGCAGAGGAGGGGGGACACAAACTTCTATAATCCTTTGTAATAAAAGTTTTCTCTACTTCATCTCAAAAAATACTCAAGCCAAACCCAGAGAATACCAGCTAGTTTCCCCCATTATGAGAATAATCTAGAAGGAGCACAAACACAGAATTTTTATTGCATGATGCAAGCCTGAATAAAATACTAACAAAACAAAATTTAAGAAACCCATCTTCTTAGCTTGGAATATTTTGTTTCAGTGTAAAAAAATGGTCTTTTCAAAGTATGAAGAACACAAGGCCATTCCCCTCCCTCCAGCCCTCAATAAAGATGTGAAAACCTGGTTGCTTCATTCAGATGAGAATTTCCTAATAGAAATAGACATCTTTCCCTAACTTAAAACACAGGTGGTGTAAATGCACATTTTGTAAATCACATTACTTCAAGTTGATAAACTCCCACAATGAAAAGAAAGTTAATTTAAGTTACATATTTTTAATTTTAAAATGTTTAGATTTCAAGTACTCCATCACATATGGCTGCTTCAAGAGCCATTTCTGGAAAAATTCCTATCTTCTCAATTGTCCATGTGAGACCACATGCACTAAAACCAGCTTGGAAGTAAAACACTTTTATACTTAACCCTGAAACTCAGCAATGAAAAGCTGGTACAACAAAACATGACTAGCTATTCCTTCCTGAACTCAAATTACTTGAAAAAAACATTCTTAGCTGCAATTTGAATGTACTTGAAACCAAACGAGTAAAAATTCTGTGAGAAACCCAACCTTCATTAGGTATTTCAATCAACTGGCTTCTTTCTGTAGCACTGAGATACATTAAATATATATATATTAATGTTTGAAAGTTTTAAAGAAGCGACTATGCTACTATAAAAGGTGATACTAACAGCCCTCTACTAGTGAGACAGGATCACACTGTATTTCATGACACAGTGTTTAAATGCGGGGACTTTAAAGAACATCAGATGAGAGCTAAAGAAAAGCCACATGATCTACAGAAGCTGTTATTTCAAATGGAAAAACCAAACAGCACAAAGGCCACCAGATACCCACTTCCACGTTCCACCATGTGGTTACAGTTCAGTCACATAAGTCAAAACATGCACGTTAGAATTGTCCAACTTCACAAACCCAGCTGTCATTCTCAATTTCTGCTGGCTTAGTCAGCCATCAAGCAGTCTAGGAAACGACACAAGCTCATCAGAGCTCAGCTTCCTTACTTCATTTAAGATTGTGCTTGCTGACTGTAACAAAAATGCGTATCAAAAGATCCTCTGCAATTTTTTCAGAGCCTAGATCAGCTGTCAAGATGTACTTCAAATAAAGTGGCATTCAAAAATGAACCCAACTGCAGAAAAAGAAAGGAAACTTTACCTTAATTGGAGCACGGCTAAACTGTATCTTCCTGTTGGCTGGGATTTCATCTTCATCTGGCAATCCATTAATTTCAGAATATTCCATATCAGGCTCATAACAGTTATTTTCATCACTGTCATCCTGGTCATCCTGTTCTGTACCTGTCTCTCCCCAGTCAGAGTTATATCTCGATCGTACCCGGTACACATTGTAGTCAGAGTGCATGTACACGTGGGAACTCTGAAAATCATTCACATCTTCATGCCCTTCTTTTTCACCTGCCTCATCATAATGGGACTCGGTAGCATCTGAAACTGCATCTGTGGCAAAATCACCACCTGAAGCTACATTTCTTGGTAGTTCTGAAGCTTCGGATCTATTCAAGACACCCTCTGCATGTTCCAACTGTTCCTTTTGTTGCAACAAAACTTCTGCCTCTGTTTTTGATTTGCTCCTAGAACAGCTGTCCATGGATCTTTCACTGTCAAGCACGCTGACCAGTTCCTGTTGACTCGCTCCAGAGCTCTCAACAGCATCAGCACTTGCCTCTGTACCCTTCTTTATCTCTTCGCTTGTTTTTGAACCCGCTGAAGTGCCTGTGGAAGTCTTCTGTCTCAGTGCTGAAGACACACTATTCTGCTGAGAGTTCTCAGCAGACATCCCACCTGTACCCTGTTTGGCTGTGGGAGACCACGTGCTGGCATCTTTCAAAGGACTGAAGCCCTCAAGGTTTGCAACCGGGGAGGAGATATTTGCCACAGTGGAGGAGAGGCTGAGCGGATAGTGACCAGTTACAGAGTACTCTTCATTGTTCTCCGACTTCTCTACGACGATCACGTTGTGTGAGTCAGTGTTCTCAAAAACTGCACTGAGCTGACTCACGGTTGGAGAGACGGTCTCTGTCCTTGGGCTAAGGCTGTCCAGTGAATCGGTGCTGCCCCTTTGAGACTTGGCACTGCACCACTCATCTGGAAGCTCGTTGGAAACAACTTTATCTTTCTTTGGGGAGTAGCGATTGGAATGTCCAGTTTCATGAGCATTTCGCTCAAACATCTTCCGAGTTTCAGTAAACTTGGAATAGGAAGGACCATCGTGGATCGTATCAAACCTACTGATCCTTTCTGAGACAGACGATTCCAACTTTACAATTGAACCATCAGCTTTTTCTACAAATTCTTTGGGCCTAATTCGTCTTTGAGGTGATGGAGGACCACCCTTTCCTCTGGTTTTAGGGGTAACCCCAGCACTTTCAGTGGGCTCCATGCCCATCTGCATAAATAAGTTCTTAATCCTATTGACATTTGAGCCATATTTCCTTCCCCTGCTCTGTGAGGCCTCTCCTTCCTCTTTCGCTTTCTGTTCTCCATCTGATTTCGGCTTGTCAAAGGTGCTTTTCAGCGCCTGGAACTCAGTTCTGTAAGCGTTCCTATGAGGAGAGGCACTTCGGAGGGTTGATCTTTCCCCTGAAGACTCCGTTTTCATCATGGTTACTCCAGGAGTGCAAAACCAGCTTACATAGTTTCTGTGGTACTGCTCTCAGTGGTCTCTCAGCTGTGATTCTGCCTGAGGAGTGCTCGCAGGGGGCACTGCCCTTCAGCACGGCCACACTTGACAGAAGATCTGGAGGTAAAGATCTAAACGCATGCGGTCAGTTCTGACCAGGCAGCACAACCGAGGACATTCAAGAACAACAGCGGATTTAATCTGCAATAGAAGGGAGGGTTTTCTGAATCATGTCAGGTACTCATGCATCTCAAAGTCTAAGCCATTGTTTCCATTTACCATTATTTGACACGTTTATAATAAAAATAGTAAAAAAAAATAAATAAATAGAACCTAACACTGCATAGACACATGAAAACTTGTCAGGGCAAACTTTCTCAAACCGACTGTTGCATAACTTGCAATGTATAATATTCCATAGTGCAAGCACGGATTATCGCATCTTACCCTTCACAAACTGCCATATGATGCCACAAACATGCATGCAAAGGAAAGGCAATGTGGCAAGAGAAACGCAGGCACTGCAAGACGACCCCTGCTCCCTCGGATGAACCATCAGAAATACTATCAAACATGGTATATCCAGAAAAGGCAAATCAAACAGCAGCTCGAGGGGAACAGAAAAAACTGCACCCAAAGTTAACACCCCCGGCCGACACGGTAAGGGAAGCGAAATTCCGTTAGATAAAGTTGCCCCTTGACACTGGCAGCGGTTTTAGCACCTGGAGGCGCCTGGGGTGCCTAAGGAGGGGCTGCAGAAGCCGAGCCAGCCGGTGGGTCCGCTCCCGGGCCGCCGTGCCGGAGCTCCGCGGCCCCAGGAGCGGCAGCGCGGGTCTCACCGAGATCCGAACCCCTCTCCCTTCCTGCCCGTTCCTCCTTCCCAGCCGTCGCCGCCCAGAGGACGCCTCATTTCGGGCGCAGCTCCACGCGGTGCTTGCCCCGGCGCAGGGGTCGCCGCCGCCGCCGCCGCCGCGGCGGCGGGAGAGACGCGCCCGCCTCGCGCACCTCCGCGGCCCGTCCCGCAGCCCTTGCCCGGGCGGGGGGCGCCGATCGCCGCAAGGGGCAAGGAACGAGGCCACGCGGCAGCAGCTGCCGCTCCTGCCCGCCGTGCAGGAAGCGATAAACTTCCCCCGAGCGCGGGCGGCGGCTGCTCCGTGGCTGTGCCGCGCCGTGGGGCTGGAGCCGCGGGGCCCCGGCCGGCAGCACCTTGCGGTGGGGCAGAGCCCGGGCAGGCGCCTATCGCCCCCCCGCGGCCGGGCCCCGGGAAACAAAAGCCCGGTGACAGGCACGGCTGCTTCTCCGCCGAGCCCGGCTCTGCTCCCGCCGAGCGCGCACGCCGCCTTACCCAGCGGAGAGCCGCGGCGAGCTCCCACAGCCTCCCCGCCTCAGCGCTGACCCCGCTTCTCCTCCGGCCCGCGGCGGCTCGGTGCCTCTGTGGAGAACGGCCGCTGCTGCCGCCGCCCGCCTGACAGGAGGCACCAACCGCCGCGGCGCCTCAACGCCATTGCAGGCAACGGCAACAGCAACGGCGGCAGCTGGGGCACCGACGCGGCTCCGCGCGCACACCCGCGGCGGCAGCGCGGGGGAGGAGAACCTCCGCGCCTCGCCGCAGCCGCGCTCCCGCCCGCCGCCCTCCCCTCCGCCACGCCGCGGCCGCCGCGCCCCCCCCGCCGCGGGACGCGCCCCGAGCCGCCGCCGCCGCCCGCCGCGGGGCCGCCCGCCGCCGCCGCCGGCGAGTGACAGGTGCCTCACCTCCTCGGCGAGCCGCAGTGGTTCGCTCCGCCGGGGGAAGGGAGGGCTGGCGGCGGGGGAGGCGGTGAGCCGAGCTCCCGCTGCAGTCCGGCCCCGGGCGGTTACCGCCGAGCGGCTGAGGCCGGGTTCGGCCACAGCCACACCGCCTGCGCGCCCGGGCGGCGGGCTCATCCGCGCCGCGCCACGGCCGCGCCAGCGCTGAAGCCCTCGTCCTGCCCCCGGGAACGCGTGTTTGCAGCCTGACCCCTGAGGACCGGACCGGTTGGGCTCCCGCCCGTTGCCGAGGATGGCAGCGGATGGGGGGAGCGGGCCCCTCGTCCCGCAGCCGGGAGAGCCCCGCTTCTTCACGCGGCAGAAGCCCCGCGGGGAGCAGCACGGCGCAGGGCGCGGCGAGAGCTTGGTGCGGCTTGGACACGGCGTATTCCCGCCCTCGGTGTTCGGGCGTTTAACCCGGCCCACACGGGAGGGTAACGGGCTGGTAGCGACCCCGGGTAACCCGCTGAGCAAACCCGGTTCCGCGGTTGCTGACAGGGCCGGAGAGCGACAGCGGACTGGCCCCAGCGTACAACCACCGCCGGAAAGCCTTTATTGTTCCTTAACTGGGCGAGTTCGCCGCAAAAATGCTTTGGCTTGATGCGGTGAATAAGAAAACTTAATTGCGGAACATGAAATCTCTAGGTGATTTGTGAAATTGGCAATGCGAGAAGGTAATGACTGTTAATCACATAGGAGCTCCTTAGCAAAGTTCATTAAACTAATTGCATAAATATCCAGAAAATGGCCTGGGGCTGTATGCTGCAGACTCTAAAGACTAATTATTATTCACACAGAATGAAGACAGTAGTGACTGCAGATAAAGACATCAGGTGTATAGGTTCACAAGCTTACTTCATTAGTTTTAATGCGGCTGAAGCACAAGTACTGTACACTAGTCCAAGTGTTCACAGGTGTCAGTGTCTGGTTAATCTAATTTGCTCCAAGGGTATGCAGCTCAAATTCTGCCTCAATAAAGCTTAAATAAGCAGCACATTAATACTGACAGGCAAACAGCAAACCTTGTACAGCAGACCAGACCCCAGCATTTTGATGAATACCTGCACAGGATGCCAAGAACGGAACAAGTATGTTCCCAGAGCACATTTCCCACTGCGGCAGGACACCTGTCCTGGAGCAGGGCAGAGTCTCTACACAGGCCATCACCAGCAGAAGATAGGGGTAGAAGAGGATCACGGGGGGATCTGGGGTGCCCTGTGGGCTGCTGGGCACTGCCATGCCATGTCAGGAGAAAAGGCTATCGGAGGATATGTATAATGAGCGAGGATATAGGCAGCCTCCAAGATTCAAAAGCAGTTGCAGAAAGCTCCCCCTCTGCAACCTTTTCCCAAAGCAGAACAATGAGGGAATGCTGCTTCCCAGCCAGCTGCAGTGAGGAGTCCTGCAGGTGATTCCCCATACAAGGACTAAAAATATTGCTACTATGCAGAACATTCCCTATTAAATTCTAAACATAAGATGACATGCCAGATCTGAGGCCCAGCATCCCTGGCAGTGCCTTTCGACTTGTCTGTGGTTCTGTAGATGTGGAGCTGTAAGAACACTCAGAGAGCTGCTTGACTTCTGGCGATAAAAATAGATAAGAGAACTTCAAGTGTCATTGAAGAAAAGAGATATAAAGCAGAAATTTAAACATTCTATTTCCTTTGTGAATTTAGGCTAAGCATGCAGAGTGGCTGAAGAGCTTAGCATGTACCAGTGTGCTTAGCATGCTACCATGTGTAGCAGGAAGAGTTTTATAATTCACATAGAATCACAGAATAGTTAGGGTTGGAAAGGACCTTAAGATCATCAAGTTCCAATCCCCCTGCCATAGGTGGGGACACCTCACACTAAACCATGTCACCCAAGGCTCTGTCCAACCCAGCCTTGAACACTGCCAGGGATGGAGCTGGAAACTTCCCTGGGCAACCCATTCCAGTGCTTCACCACCTTCACAGTAAAGAACGTCCTCCTTATATCCAGCCTGAACGTCTCCTGTTTAAGCTTAAGGCCATTGTCCTATCATTAGAGTCCCTAATTAAGAGTCCCTGCCCAGCATCCTTACAGGCCTCCTTCAGATACTGGAAGGCTGCTATGAGGTCTCCATGCAGCCTTCTCCAGGCTGAACAGCCCCAACTTTCTCAGCCTATCTTCATACAGGAGGTGCACCAGTCCCCTGATCATCCTCGTGGCCCTTCTCTGGACTTGTTCCAACAGTTCCATGTCCTTTTAATGTTGAGGACACCAGAACTGCACACAATGCTTCAAGTGAGGTCTCACAAGAGCAGAGTAGAGGGGCAGGATCACCTCCTTCGACCTGCTGGTCACGCTCCTTTTGATGCAGCCCAGGATACGGTTGGCTTTCTGGGCTGCGAGCACACATTGAAGCCGGCTCATGTTCATTTTCTCATTGACCAACACCCCCAAGTCCTTCTTTAGGGCTGCTCTGAATTTCTTCTCTGCCCACCTGTAGCTCTGCCTGGGATTGCTCCCACTCAGGTGCAGGACCTTGCACTTGGCTTGGTTGAAATTCATAAGGTTGGCATCAGGCCACATCACAAGCATGTCAGGGTCCCTCTGTGCCTGTCAAAATCTTGGAGCAGATTCTCCTGGAAGGCATGCTAAGGCACATGAAAAACAACAAGGTGCTTGGTGACAGCCAGCATGGCTTCACTAAGGGGAAATCCTGCCTGACCAATTTGGTGGCCTTCTATGATGGGGCTACAGAACTGATGGACAGGGGTAGAGCAGTTGATGTCCGACACTGTCCCACACGACATCCTTGTCTCTAAATTGGAGCGACATCAATTTGATGGATGGACCACTCTGTGGATAAAGAACTGGCTGGATGGCTGCACGCAAAGAGTTGTGGTCAATGGCTCAATGTCTGGCTGGAGACCAGTAATGAGTGGTGTCCCTCAGGGATGAGCGTTGGGACCGGTCTTGTTCAACATCTTTGTCACTGACATGGACAGTGGGATTGAGTGCGCCCTCAGCAAGTTTGCCGATGACACCAAGCTGTGTGGTTCAGTTGATAGGCAAGCAAAAGAAGGGACACAAGCAAACATTAAACAATCTGTGAAACAATTGAAGCAATTTTAAAGAGACTAATTCACATCCAATTATGTAAAGTTAATTAGGAAAGTATCCACTACCATATTTACAGAACCAGAGCCAGAAACATTAAATCCTTTTTCTAACAGAAATTTTGCAAACAAAGTGGCCATTTTAAGCCATAACTTGTATTTTAAACAGTGTACCCAAGAAAACATTTGTATCATTTCATGGCAGAATATTATACTTCAGTAGAAAGTAAGGCAATGAAATGGCTCGCTTATGGTGACAGCCAAAGTACACAAGAAATCTCAAGTTTTCCACAATGAGAGATAATCACAGAATCACAGAATGGTTTGGATTAGAATGGACCTTAAAGCTCATCCAGTTCCAACCCCCCTGCCATGGGCAGGGACACCTTCCATTAGATCAAGTTGCTCAAAACCCCATCCTTGACCACTGCCAGGGATGTAGCAGCCACAGCTTCTCTTGGCAACCTGTGCCAGGGCCTCACCACCCTCATAGTAAAGAATTTCTTTCTAACGTCCAATTTAAATCTATCCTCTGACAGTTTAAAGCCATTTCCTCTCATCCTTGTAATAGATATTTATGTCCTCCTTAAATGCATTATAAGTAGACTGTGTAGACGTTCAAGCAGACAATACCCAGCTTTGACACAGATTCAGCTTGGTCACTGACATCAAAGATACTCAAACTTACTAATCACTTACAGAAAAATTTTTAATTTACATCCTAATTTTCTCAGCTCCTGTGGTAAAGAATATTATTATAATCTCAAGGACAATATATTATATTATATTATATTATATTATATTATATTATATTATATTATATTATATTATATTATATTGGTTTTTTGTTTTGATTGATGTGTCACTTTTCAAGACAAGACTCCTCATTATGAGCATGGCCATGCAGCTAAGTATAGAAATCAGAATTCTGTGGCCTTTTACATTTTCAGTATTTCTGTGACAATCTATTTGACTAGAAAGTATTTTTAGGCTCTTCTAAAGCATGATTGACATTTCTGTTAATTCCTGAGCAACACCAAAATGCTGCACAGAATACTTCAGGGAAGATAAGAGACCAAGGGCCTCTTTACTACGTTAGCATAAATTCAGAGTAACCTCACTGAAGTTACAAAATTACTCTGCTTCCCAACTAATGGGAATTAAAAATCTATTCATCTTAAGATTTACATATGATACAGTATGACTGTTATTTTACTTGCACTGGTGTAGCTGCACCATTCAAATGACTCTGAATTTGCACATATGACAGGGAGAGAGGCCCAAGCTGTTTAATGGGACAGCATCCCTTTAAATTATACCTAGTATCTTTTAAATTGAGGCAGTCCTCCACCACTGAAAATAATCGGTTTTCTATTATTTTGAGATGTGTGAATTATATTTACTGATAAACGTGACTGTTTGGGTGCCACTGAGGGGTTGTTCTGAGTCACTTCCACGCTTCTAAGCCACTCAGGTTTTGAGATACGGATTTATTTGTGTAGCAGAGCAGCAACACAAGTTTTTCCACATGGCTCAGGCAAAAGAAAAACGTCATTCCATCATGTGTCTCCTGTCAATGTCTTTCAAGTCTTCCAAGATAAAATCTGTATGTACACGTACAAATGGAAACTATTTACTTATCCTGATCTTTGGCTAAGAAAGCCTCTCTCTGCTATCCCGCCAAACCACTGGCAAGGAGGAGGTTTTTCTTCTTTATACATATCACAGCATAAACAGAATTGAGATCTCTT